TAACAGTGGCTTTGGGGGTTCTGGATAATCATGCTGGTTAACGGTGGGTTTGTGGGGCTAGGTTCTGGATAGAACTGCTGGCTAACAGTGGGTTCTGGATAATCCTGCTGGTTAACGGAGGGTTTGGGGGTCTGGGTTCTGGATAATCCTGCTGGTAAACGGAGGCTTTGGGGGCGTTGACAGGTGAAGCCGTCCCTGGATGAGGCGTTTGTGATCCAGGAGCAGAACGTTGCTCTGAACTTCATCGGGTCCAGAGGAGCAAAGCCCGGCGTGACGAAGGAGAGGAGGATCAAATACGCAAAGGAAGTTCTGCAGAAGGAGATGCTGCCGCATGTGGGGGTCAGCGACTTCTGCGAGACCAAGAAGGCCTACTTCCTGGGGTGAGAAGAAGACTTTATTGATCTCAACATGGCGGTAGCCTGGCTGCGGGGGTCTGGGCGGGGGCTGGTCTCCGGGGTAACGCTGGGCCCGTTGCAGGTACATGGTCCACCGGCTGCTGCTGGCGGCTCTGGGCCGGAGGGAGCTGGACGACAGGGACCACTACGGGAACAAGAGGCTGGACCTGGCCGGGCCTCTGCTGGCCTTCCTGTTCAGAGGGTGGGTTCCTCACTCCCTAACCCTAACCCTAACCCAGAAGCCCATCAGGCCGGATCTCTGACATCCTTCTCTTTGTTCAGGATGTTTAAGAACCTCCTGAAGGAGATCAGGATCTACGCTCAGAAGTTCATCGACAGAGGGAAAGATTTCAACCTGGAGCTCGCCATCAAGACGCGCATCATCTCAGACGGCCTGAAATACTCTCTGGCCACCGGGAACTGGGGGGACGTGAAGAAGGCTCACCAGGCCCGAGCCGGGGTGTCCCAGGTTAGAGCCCCGCCCCCCCGGTGGTCTGAGCTGGTCTCACTGACACCTGGGACACCGTAACCCAGGGGTGTCAGAATCCAGTCCTGGAGGGCCGGGGTCCTGCAGGTTTTAGACATTTTCCTGCTTCTGCACACCTGATTCTGATTAAATTGGATCTCCTCTGGAGCTTTGCACCTGTCTAACGGCCCTTTGATGTGAATCAGGTGTGTTGAAAAAGGGTTACCTCTAAAACCTTTAGGACAGCGGCCCTCCAGGACTGGAGTTTGACACCCCTGCCCTGACCCAACCCTGACCCTATCCCAACCCACCCTATCCTAACCTAACCCTGACCTAACCCTATCCCAACCTAACCCTATCCCCCCCTGACCCCTGCAGGTGCTGAACCGTCTGACCTTTGCGTCCACGCTGTCCCACCTGCGGCGGGTCAACTCTCCCATTGGCCGAGACGGGAAGCTGGCCAAACCCCGCCAGCTGCACAACACGCTGTGGGGCATGGTGTGTCCCGCAGAGACGCCTGAGGTAAAACCCTGGTTCTCCTGGTTCTCCGGGTTCCCTCCTGGTTCAGCAGCCGTGTTGATGATGCTGTTGGTTCCCATCTCAGGGTCACGCCGTGGGTCTGGTGAAGAACCTGGCCCTGATGGCCTACATATCTGTAGGCTCCCAGCCTTCGCCCATCCTGGAGTTTCTGGAGGAGTGGAGCATGGAGAACCTGGAGGAGATCTCTCCTGCTGCCATCGCAGAGTTAGTTTGACTTGATGCATCTCTTTTTTCTGATCATACTCTGACTTTATGCACTTTGCTTGAATGAGATGTGGTTCTGGTTTCAGTGCAACTAAAATCTTTGTGAACGGCTGCTGGGTTGGAATCCACAAAGACCCAGAGCAGCTGATGAATACTCTGAGGAAACTCCGCCGACAGATGGACATCATCGTGTCCGAGGTAAACTCCACCTGCCCCTGGTTTGGGTAGAACCCCTAACCCTGCCCCCCGTTTGGGTAGAAACCCTAATGCTTCCCCCTGTTTGGGTAGGAACCCTAACCCTGCCCCCCGTTTGGGTAGAAACCGTAGTGAACCGGTAGCAGCTCCTTATATGGAGCT